AGAAAAGAGTAACTGAAGAACTTCTTCTACCTGCTATAATTGATAGACATGGGCCATACAGGAAATCTTGAGAACCTGTGTTTCCACGACTGGTCTTCGTGGTCCATGCATGACGCTCTCACACCACCACAGGAGGAGCCGAAGAAATTCCTCTTTTCTGATGTAGCGGATGTGGGTGCGGCTGCGGGTGGCCCCCACACTGCTCTGTGGGTCAGAGGTTTCAGGAGTTCTTTGTTTTTTCCTGTTACTGACGCCAGCAGCTGAATCTATAAAGTTCCCTTCCACTTCTTTGTGGTCTCAGATGCAGAGAAGCCCTGGCAGGGAGTTTAGGTGCGACCCGTGCAGTGTCAGAGGGAGACGGGTCATGGTGATGATGAAGGAAGGTCTCCCTCTTCAGTTGCTTTGGCTTCTCCTTTCTTTTCACTCCACCACAGGTAAGTACCTGCTTTAGTTCACACATAGAACTTAGACAAACTGACCCTAAAGGGTTGTTGTAATTGGGGATCCAATACGTTTTAGTGATTTTTTTTTGCTTTCAGTCACCAGTGATGTAAAAAGTAAGAACTGTCATCTCATAGAAAGAAAATTAAACTAAAGTTGTGTCTGTCTCCTGTAGATAAGTACCAGAGAGAAAGTTTATATACCGGTACTTCAATAATTAGGGACTGTTCTCACTCAATAATCTGCATATTGTACAAAATATCTTGCTCCTGGAGCACTGTGAGCCCGGAGCTGTTTATTAGCAGACCCAATGACTCCAGAACTAATTACCACTCAAGTAAAAGCATTAGGGCCAGATTCTCTCCTCTGTACAAGACAGAAGAATGAGGCAGGTCCAGGGACTGCTCTGACTTAGACCACCTGGGAAATGGCAGTGCGTAGCTGTACTCCAGCAGGTCTCCTTCCATCCCCTAAATGCTCCCCACACCAAGAGTTGGTATAGGAACCAGGTACACTAGCTTTACACCAGCTGAGAGCTCTTCCTCTCTGGGAGAATTCTGTGCAGGGCAGTTAGCACCAAGTGGCCACTCTGCACTTCCCGAGCAACTGAAAAGGAGCAGCCTGGGGGAAGAGAGTCTGGCCTTAAAGGAGGGAGGCCTTTGGCTGTTTTTTCTCACTCCAACCCTCTCCCCCAACTGCCAAATTCTTCCTGTATGCCCCTCTCTGACCCACACTAAACCATCCTGTAGGAAACTTCCCAACCTCCTAGCCTGAGTCAAATGTCTGTCTTTTCACTTTGAAAATCTAGTTACCCTACTCTCTGGGCAATGACTGGGGAGGGAAAGGGGCAGTAGTGGGCGTGAGGGAGGTCCACTGACTGGGTACAGGAAGGATGGGTGAGCAGGGAAGAGAGGTCATGCACGGCACTGATTAGGGGAGGGTGGTGAGGGAAACAGGCAGGCTGGGGAGTAGGGGAACCATTTGCAAGTGGAGCAGTTGCCCCCACCCCCAACTTTTCATATATGTCCCATAATGTCTTCCAGCGCCACCAAGCCTTTGCAGGACAGACTATCCTATATAAAGGTCCATAAGCTGACATAATTCCCACACCCCTTACTTTTTTCTGAAATGCCCCCTTGCTGGAGAGTTCTGTGAGAAGCAAGCGATTCAACAGCTGGTGGGGGTGGCTGATGCAGTGGGTAACTGCAGGTGCTCAGGTAAAGGGGAGGTTTGCTGGTTCCCAATGAGAATGGTTTACAGTGATTTGGAGGGAAAGGAAGGTACTTGGTGTCTGGAGGAATTGGATCTAGTGAAAGGTCTCTTGCGGACTGCCAGAAACATTGCTGTGTATCTTTCGGCTGTGACTATGCTCAATATGCAACAGCCCAGCTGGATGGTACAGGAGAAGATGAGTGGGATTCAGAAGGCAACACCTTCCACCAGGGGTTTGCACCACTGTGTTGTGTGACAGACACTTGACAAAATTACCATACTTAGTGACAGACATTGTGGGGGAGGTTTCAGAGTAGCAGCTGTCTTAGTCTGTATCTGTAAAAAGAAAAGAGTACTTGTGGCACCTTAGAGACTAACAAATTTATTAGAGCATAAGTTTTCGTGAGCTACAGCTCACTTCATCGGATGCATACAGCGGAAAATATAGTGGGGAGATTTTATATACACAGAGAACATGAAACAATGGGTGTTACCATACACACTGTAACCAGAGTGATCAGGAAAGGTGAGCAATTACCAGCAGGGGGAGGGGGGGGGGCTTTTGTAGTGATAATCAAGGTGGGCCATTTCCAGCACTTTACAAGAACAGTAGGAGGGGAAATAAACATGGGGAAATAGTTTTACCTTGTGTAATGACCCATCCACTCCCAGTCTCTATTCAAGCCTAAGTTAATTGTATCCTTTTGCAAATTAATTCCAACTCAGAGGAGGGGTTTTAAAAGGCCCTTAATTGGGATCAGGTGCCCCTAGCTGACCTGGGGTAACTCCCTCTCAGCTTGTAGGGAAAACAGCCTTTAACATTCATATATTCTTGTGGAATGGTAAACAGAGTTTCCCGCACTGCCATATCCAAGTTTTCAAAAATCAGGAGACAGGCCCAAAAATATCAGGAAATTGGTTAAAAACAGTGTGATTTAAAATCATAGAATAATAGCATAAGAAGGAACTGAAATGGTCATCTAGTCTAAGCCGTGCCAGGATGAAGGATTTGTTTCTAAACAATTCAAGTCAGATGCAATCCAGCCTTCTTTTGAAAACCTCCCGTGAAGGAGCTTCCACAACCTCCTGAGGCCTCTGTTCCATTGTCCTGCTGCTCTTACGGTTAGGAAGTTTTTCTTGAGATTTAATCTAAATTTGCTGTGCTGCAGTTTGAACCCACTGCCTCTTGTCCTGCCTCTGTGGGAAGAGAGAATGATGTTTCTTCATCTTTTTTATGGCAGCCTTTCAAGTATTTGAAGATCATTGTCATGTGCCCCCTAAATCTCCTCTTTTCCAAACTAAACACACCCAGTTCCTTCAGTTTTGGCTCATATGAGTTGCCTTCAGGGCCATCCCTAGCTATTCTGGGGCCCTACGCAGCCTCCTCGTGGGTGTGGGGGGGGGCAGGCCTCCACGGGGGGAAAGGGCTGGCTTGGGGGGCAGGGGGAACCACCACCGCCAGCACTCACCGGTGGCGCAGAGCAGGCTGGGGCCAGGTCGCTGCACTTCCCGCCGCTGGAGCAGAGGCGGGAAGGGTCAGGGCGGGGGCATAGCAGGGCAGGGGCTTTGGGGAAGGGGTGGAGTGGGGGCTGGGCTGGGGAAGAGCAGGGGTGGGGGCCATGGGGAAGAGGCGGGGCAGGGGCTGGAGGAGGGGCAGGAAGGGGCGGGGCAGGAGCAGAGCAGGGTGGGGGCTTTGGGGAAGGGCTGGAGTGGGCCAGGGCTGGGGCAGAGCAGGGGCGGGAAGAGGCAAGGCAGGGACTAGAGCAGCAATGCAGCTGTGCAGGGCACCAGGAAATGTGATGCTCCAAATTTCCAGGTGCCCTACGCAGGTGTGTACTTTGCATGTGGGTAGGGACGGCCCTGCTTGCCTTCCATCCCTTTGATCATTTTTTTTGCTCTCCTGTGGACCCTTTCCAGTTTCTCTACATCCTTTAAGAACAGATGCATCGATGAAGTGAGGTGTAGCTCACAAAACCTTATGCTCAAATAAATTTGTTAGTCTCTAAGGTGCCACAAGTCCTCCTGTTCTTTTTGCGAATACAGACTAACATGGCTCCTACTCTGAAATCTACATCCTTTCTATACGTTGGTGACCAAAATTGGACACAGCTCTCCAGCTGAGGCCTAACCAGTGCTGAGTAGAGCGGTATTATCACCTCCCGTGACTTGAGTGCTATGCCTCTCTTAATGCAACCTAAAATTACATTTGTGGGTTTGTTTGGTTTTTTTGCAACAGTATCACATTGCTGATTCATGTTGGGGATGTGATCCACCACAACTCCCAAATCCTTCTCAGCAGTGCTGCTGCCAAGCCAGTTATCCCCCATTCTGTATTTGTGCATTTGGGTTTTCTCCCCTAAGTAGAGTACCTTACATTTGGCTTTGCTGAATTTCTTTTTGTTGTCTATAGCTCAGTTCTCTAATTTATCAAAATTCCTTTGAATGTTAGCTCTATCCTCCAAAGTGTTCACAACCACCACTAGCTTTGTGTCATCTGCAATTTAATCAGTCTGCTCTCTATTCCTACATCCAGGTCATTAATAAAGTTGTTAAATAACACTGCACCCAGAACAGATCCCTGTGGAACCTCACGTGAGACCTCAGTCCAATATGACATTATTCCATTAATAATCAATCTTTATTTGCAGTTGTTTAGCCAGTTCTGCATCCCCTCAATGGTAGTTCAGCCAAGCCTGCATTTCTCCTGCTTACTTATCAGAATGTCATGTGGACTGTGTCAAAAGCCGTGCTGAAGTCCAGGTATATTACGTCCACCGCATTCCCCCATCCACCAAACCACTTACCCTGTCCAAGAAGAAAAGCAAGCTGGCTTGGCATGGTTTGTTCTTAGTAAATCCATACTGGGTGATCACCCCTTCATCCTCCAGGTATTCACAAGCTGAATGTTTTATACATTGTTCTAGTAGCTCCCAGGTAACGAGGTCAGTCTGATTGGTGTATAGTTCCCTGGCTTCTCCTTTTTTCCCTTTTTAAAGACGGGCACTACATGAGCCCTTCTTCAGTCTTCCAGGACCACTCCTGTCATCCATGAGTTGCAAATATTATTGCCAGTGGTGCCAAGAGTTCTTCAGCTGATTCCTTCAGTACCCTCGGCTGAACAGCATCAGGCACCACTGACTTGAATTCATTCAGATTAGTCAGAAGATCACAGGAATATGATATTAAAAGCTGGCATTTTTTCCTACAGGAAGCAAACAGATCAGACTGGTGAATGGGGCAGATCGTTGCTCCGGGAGAGTGGAGATTCATTACAGTGGAGCCTGGGGGACAGTCTGTGATGATTACTGGGACAAATCAGATGCCAATGTCGTTTGCCAAGAGTTGGGATGTGGACACGTCCTTGATGCAACTGGCTCAGCTCATTATGGGGAAGGATCAGGGCAGATCTGGCTGGATGATGTGAGTTGCTCTGGAAGCGAATCCTATCTTCGGGACTGTTCCTCCAGAGGATGGGGTCAGCATGACTGTGGGCACAGTGAAGATGCTGGAGTTCTCTGCTCAGGTCTGTTCTGTGAAAGCTTTATTGAATCTAATTAATAGGGCATTAATATAAGAGGTCAGTGTTAACTAACAGAGAAGCCATAAAATGAGAAGAAACTGAGTATGAAAGTGGAGAATCTCCTTGCCTGTCACACAATTCTTTTGAGATATATTCCTTTGGAATGGTAACCAGACTTTCCAGCTCTGCCTAACCCAAGTGTTCAAAAATCATGAGTTACGACTAAAATATCAGGAAATTGGTTAAAAATAAAGAGATTTAAAATCATACAATCCTCAAATCATAGTGCCATAGTGTTAAAAGGGATGAGTAGGGTCACTGAGTCTGACCCCTGCCAAGATGAAAGATGTGTTGTGGTTAAACCATCCAAGAGAGATGGCTATGTAGCCTCCTTCTGAAAACATCCAGGGAAGGAGCTTCCATAACTTCCCTAGGCAGTCTGTTCCATTGTCCTACTGTTGTTAAACTTAGGAAGTTTTTCCTGAGATTTAATCTAAATCTGCTCTGCTATAGTTTGAACCCATGCCTCTTGCCCTACCCTCTGTGGCAAGAGAGAACGATTTTTCTCCATCTATTTGTGTCATGCTGATAGAAAGCAGAAGACCGGAAGTCCGCAGTGCAGCAATGCGATATTTATTGGGGTTAGTTTCAAGCAAGCATATCCATAGCTCTGACACTGCAGAGCCTTTGTCCCAGTGTTCCAGTTCCCCCTTCCTTAGCAGGCATAATTATACCTGTAATGCATAGTGTTGGTCCCACCCCTTACAATTTATGGTCGAGTTCCATTTTGGAAGGTCTTGAGTTGGTCCCACCTCTTTTGTATCCCATTGGAGGGGTGGGGAGTGAGGTTGTGTAGTGGCCAACGCCAGGCCTTTCTTTGGCTTTTAATGTTTCTTATGTCTCTCCCCACCCGCTCTTGCTCCTCCTAATTGGTTGCTTGATCTTGGCTTGAGAGAGAAGCCAGGCAGCCTTCCAGTGTATGCTCATACATACTCCCAGCATACCCAGTAACACTTTAACTCTATTTCTTATCTTTTCTCATTGTGCTAAAAGCCCCATTTGGTTGTGAGAAATATAACACACAGCGTCTTTGGTCTTTGTTCACACATATTAGTAAGGAAATAAGAGTATAAAAAAATCACACCCAAAATTCTATCTCGGGCAAACAAACAGGCCTACGTACTAACAACAGCCTTACAAGTATTTTAAGACTGCTATCACTTCCCCACGGAGTCTCCTCTATTCCATACTAAACATACCCAGTTCCTTCAGTTTTTCTCATATGGGTTACATTCTCTTTCTTTGCTCCTCTTTGTCGCTCTCCTCTGGATCCTTTACAGATTCTCTACAGCCTTTCTATACACTGGTGACCATAACTGGACACAGTACTCCAGCTTAGGCCCAACCAGTGCCAAGTGGAGTAATACTGTCACCTCCTGTGGTTTGCATGCCGTGCCTCTGTTAATGCATCAGTAGCAGGCAGCTTGGAGGGCCGAACAGCCTAGTGGTTAGAGTGCCTGGCTCTCAGCCCTTTGATTGGTTAAGCAGCCTCAGTGTTTATGGCCCAGAGGGGTATTGAGATCTGGGCCCTTCCTCTCCATTGGGTTCAAACCCAGGTCCCTCAGTAAGTCAGCCCCGGAACAGGGAGGGATCCCTCCCAGCAGGAAGTCAAAATCCTCTTCCATGGCCTACCTCCTACTGGTCTGTTCAGCTTGAGGAATGGCCCCTCTAGTGCAGTTTGCTGGATGGCTTGTTTCCTGCAGGGTTCCCTCTTGGACTAGGGCAGCGCCTTGCTGTGATCTCCAGCTCCTTCAGGCAGGGCAAACCCCACAACGTCTCTGGTTTCCACTCAGTAAGTTACTTCAGGTGCTGGAGGCTCCTTCACAGTCTCCCTTGGTTGTGGAGACAGTGCTTATTCTGAGTCAGCTACCCTGGCTGGCCGATTACTGCTCCTTCCCTTCAAGTAGGGAGACAACTAGCTCCTGACTCCTCACCAGTCAGCACCAAACTGAGCCAGGCTCTCTTCACCCCTGCCCCCATGCCTGGCTTACACTGCAGATATAGCATGGTGGGGCTAGCTGGGCCCAAAGGCTCTCTTTAACACTTGCTGTGCAGGCTGGCAGTTTCTCTTTTTCATCAAGCAACTTACAATTGCATTTGCCTTTTTCCCAACAGCATCACAGTGTTGATTCATGTTGAGGGTGTGATCCACCACAACTCCCAGATCCTTCTCAGCAGTGCTGCTGCAAAGCCAGTTACCTCCCATTCTACCTTTGTACCTTTGGCTTTTCTCCCCTATAGAACATTACATTTGTCTTTGTTGACTTCCTTTTTTTTAATCTGTAGCCCAGTTCTCCAATTTATCAGGATCTCTTTGAATTTTAGCTCAATTCACCAAAGTGTTGGCAACCCCCTAGCTTTGTGCTACCTGCAAATGTGATCAGTATGCGCTATATTCCTCCATCCAGGTCATTAATAAAGATGCTAAATAACACCAGACCCAGAGCAGATCCCTGTGGAACCTCACTTGACACCTCCAATCTGGCATCATTCCATTAATAGTCAATCTTTGTTTGTTTAACAAACAAAGTGGTTGTTTAGCCAATTACGTATCCACCTACTGGTAGTTCTGCCAAGCCGCATTTCTCCAGCTTACTTATCAGAATGTCCATGTAGAACTGTGTCAAAAGCCTTGCTAAAGTCCAGGTATATTATGGCCATTGCATTCCCTCCTCCACAAAACCAATTACCATGTCTTAGGGCTTGTCTACGCTACCAAAGGGGGTCTATCTAAGTTACGCAACTTCCGCTACGTGAATAGCATAGCTGAAGCTGACCTACTTACCACGGTGTCGGTGTCTTCACTGCGTTAAGTCGACAGCTGACGCTCCCCCGTCAACTCCGTTCTGGTGGAGTACCGGAGTTGACAGGAGAGCGCTTGGTGGTAGATTTATCGCGTCTAGACTAGATGCAATAAATTGACCCCCGCTGGATTGATTGCTGCCCGTTGATCCAGCGTGAAGTGCAGACAAGCCCTTCGAATAATATCAAACTGGTTTGGCATGATTTGTTCTTAATAAATCCATGCAGGATGCTAGTGATCATACCTTCATCCTCCAGGTAATCACAAATTGCTTGCTTTATACATTACTCTAGTAGTTTCCCAGGTATGTAGTCAGGATGCCTGGTCTATAGTTCTCTGTTCTCCTTTCCCCCCTTTTTAAAGATAGGCACTATGTTAGTTCCTAGCCAGTCTTCCCAGACCTCTACTGTCATCCATGCATTTGCAAATATTATTGCCAGTGGCACCAAGATTTCTTCAGCTAATTCCTTTAGCACACTGGGGTGAATAAAATCTGGCCCTCCTGACATGAATTCATGCAAATTAGTAAGAAGATCAAAGGAATGTGATATTAGTATGTGCAATTTATCCCTACAGGAAGCAAACAGATCAAACTGGTGAATGGGGCAGATCGTTGCTCCGGGAGAGTGGAGATTTATTACAATGGCACCTGGGGCACAGTCTGTGATGATTCCTGGGACACATCAGATGCCAATGTCGTTTGCCAAGAGTTGGGATGTGGACACGCCCTTAATGCACCTGGCTCAGCTCATTATGGGGAAGGATCAGGGCAGATCTGGCTGGATGATGTGAGTTGCTCTGGAAGCGAATCCTATCTTCGGGACTGTTCCTCCGGTGGATGGGGTCGGCATAACTGTGGGCACGGTGAAGATGCTGGAGTTCTCTGCTCAGGTCTGTTCTTTGGAAGTTTTATTGAATCTAATTAATAGGGGGTTAATGTAAAAGGTTGATGTTAACTAACAGAGAAGCCATAAAATGAAAAGAACAGTGGAAAATCTACTTACTGTCACACAATTCTTTTGACATATTGTGGCAAGTCACCTCCTTTGTCTCGCCACACCTTAGTGCTTTCCCCTCTGGCAATGGTGAGCCTGGGGTTAATCAGCTCCTCTCTGTGCAGGGTTTGCCTTTCCCCTTCTGTGTTCCCTTGGCCATACTTTCAGGGTAGCCCTGACAGTTGGCCCAAGGGGTGATCCTTCACCAAACAAAAAAGGAACAGTCTCATAAACTAAAACCCCAGTAAGGTACCTTTTGCTGCCTCCTCACTGGTGCAGGGTGTTGCCCTGTTGGTTTTCCCTGGGCTCTCAGTCCTTACCTAGCAGGCACTCAGGTTTGGCTGTTTCCCCTATGGGGAGGAACACAGCCCTTCACCCTGGAGAAGCTTATTTCCCTACTGCCACTAGCCTGGCAGCAACTTGTTTCTCTCTTCCCCTTTCCTCTACTCAGAGGAGGGGTTTTAAAAGGCCCTTAATTGGGATCAGGTGCCCCTAGCTGACCTGGGGTAACTCCCTCTCAGCTTGTAGGGAAAACAGCCTTTAACATTCATATATTCTTGTGGAATGGTAAACAGACTTTCCCGCACTGCCATATCCAAGTTTTCAAAAATCAGGAGACAGGCCCAAAAATATCAGGAAATTGGTTAAAAACAATGTGATTTAAAATCATAGAATAATAGCATAAGAAGGAACTGAAATGGTCATCTAGTCTAACCCATGCCAGGATGAAGGATTTGTTTCTAAACAATTCAAGACAGATGCAATCCAGCCTTCTTTTGAAAACCTCCCGTGAAGGAGCTTCCACAACCTCCTGAGGCCTCTGTTCCATTGTCCTGCTGCTCTTACGGTTAGGAAGTTTTTTCTTGAGATTTAATCTAAATTTGCTGTGCTGCAGTTTGAACCCACTGCCTCTTGTCCTGCCTCTGTGGGAAGAGAGAATGATGTTTCTTCATCTTTTTTATGGCAGCCTTTCAAGTATTTGAAGATCATTGTCATGTGCCCCCTTAATCTCCTCTTTTCCAAACTCAACATACCCAGTTCCTTCAGTTTTGGCTCATATGAGTTGCCTTCAGGGCCGTCCCTAGCTATTCTGGGGCCCTACGCAGCCCCCTCATGGGTGTGGGGGGGCAGGCCTCCCCGGGGGGCAGGGCTGGCTTGGGGGGCAGGGGGAACCACCACCCCCAGCACTCACCGGTGGCGCAGAGCAGGCTTGGGCCAGGTCGCAGCGCTTCCCACCACTGGCGCAGAGGCGGGAAGGGTCAGGGCGGGGGTATAGCAGGGCAGGGGCTTTGGGGAAGGGGTGGAGTGGGCCTGGGCTGGGGAAGAGCAGGGGCAGAGGCCGGTGGAGCTGGAGCAGGGGCACGAAGGGGCGGGGAAGGAGCAGAGCAGGGTGGGGGCTTTGGGGAAGGGCTGGAGTGGGCCAGGGCTGGGGCGGAGCAGGGGCGGGAAGAGGCAAGGCAGGGGCTAGAGCAGCAATGCAGCTGTGCAGGGCACCAGGAAATGTGATGCCCCAAATTTCCTGGTGCCCTACGCAGGTGTGTACTTTGCATGTGGGTAGGGACGGCCCTGCTTGCCTTCCATCCCTTTGATCATTTTTTTTGCTCTCCTATGGACCCTTTCCAGTTTCTCTATATCCTTTAAGAACAGATGCATCGATGAAGTGAGCTGTAGCTCACAAAACCTTATGCTCAAATAAATTTGTTAGTCTCTAAGGTGCCACAAGTCCTCCTGTTCTTTTTGCGAATACAGACTAACACGGCTGCTACTCTGAAATCTACATCCTTTCTATACGTTGGTGACCAAAATTGGACACAGTTCTCCAGCTGAGGCCTAACCAGTGCTGAGTAGAGCGGTATTATCACCTCCCGTGACTTGAGTGCTATGCCTCTCTTAATGCAACCTAAAATTACATTTGTGGGTTTGTTTGGTTTTTTTGCAACAGTATCACATTGCTGATTCCTGTTGGGGATGTGATCCACCACAACTCCCAGATCCTTCTCAGCAGTGCTGCTGCCGAGCCAGTTATCCCCCATTCTGTATTTGTGCATTTGGGTTTTCTCCCCTAAGTAGAGTACCTTACATTTGTCTTTGCTGAATTTCTTTTTGTTGTCTATAGCCCAGTTCTCTAATTTATCAAAATTCCTTTGAATGTTAGCTCTATCCTCCAAAGTGTTCACAACCACCACTAGCTTTGTGTCATCTGCAGTTTAATCAGTCTGCTCTCTATTCCTACATCCAGGTCATTAATAAGGTTGTTAAATAACACTGCACCCAGAACAGATCCCTGTGGAACCTCACGTGAGACCTCAGTCCAATATGACATTATTCCATTAATAATCAATCTTTATTTGCAGTTGTTTAGCCAGTTCTGCATCCCCTCAATGGTAGTTCGGCCAAGCCTGCATTTCTCCTGCTTACTTATCAGAATGTCATGTGGGACTGTGTCAAAAGCCGTGCTGAAGTCCAGGTGTATTACGTCCACCGCATTCCCCCATCCACCAAACCACTTACCCTGTCCAAGAAGAAAAGCAAGCTGGCTTGGCATGGTTTGTTCTTAGTAAATCCATACTGGGTGATCACCCCTTCATCCTCCAGGTATTCACAAGCTGAATGTTTTATACATTGTTCTAGTAGCTCCCAGGTAACGAGGTCAGTCTGATTGGTGTATAGTTCCCTGGCTCCTCCTTTTTTCCCTTTTTAAAGACGGGCACTACATGAGCCCTTCTTCAGTCTTCCAGGACCACTCCTGTCATCCATGAGTTGCAAATATTATTGCCAGTGGTGCCAAGAGTTCTTCAGCTGATTCCTTCAGTACCCTCGGCTGAACAGCATCAGGCACCACTGACTTGAATTCAATCAAATTAGTCAGAAGATCACAGGAATATGATATTAAAAGCTGGCATTTTTTCCTACAGGAAGCAAACAGATCAGACTGGTGAATGGGGCAGATCGTTGCTCCGGGAGAGTGGAGATTCATTACCGTGGAGCCTGGGGGACAGTCTGTGATGATTACTGGGACAAATCAGATGCCAACGTCGTTTGCCAAGAGTTGGGATGTGGACCTGCCATTGATGTCCTTGCCTCAGCTTATTATGGGCAAGGGTCAGGGCGGATCTGGCTGGATGATGTGAGTTGCTCTGGAAGCGAATCCTATCTTCGGGACTGTTCCTCCAGAGGATGGGGTCAGCATAACTGTGGGCATGGTGAAGATGCTGGAGTTCTCTGCTCAGGTCTGTTCTTTGAAAGCTTTATTGAATCTAATTAATAGGGCATTAATATAAGAGGTCAGTGTTAACTAACAGAGAAGCCATAAAATGAGAAGAAACTGAGTATGAAAGTGGAGAACCTTCTTGCCTGTCACACAATTCTTTTGAGATATATTCCTTTGGAATGGTAACCGGACTTTCCAGCTCTGCCTAACCCAAGTGTTCAAAAATCATGAGTTACGACTAAATTATCAGGAAATTGGTTAAAAATAAAGAGTTTTAAAATCATACAATCCTCAAATCATAGTGCCATAGTGTTAAAAGGGATGAGTAGGGTCACTGAGTCCGACCCCTGCCAAGATGAAAGATGTGTTGTGGTTAAACCATCCAAGAGAGATGGCTATGTAGCCTCCTTCTGAAAACATCCAGGGAAGGAGCTTCCATAACTTCCCTAGGCAGTCTGTTCCATTGTCCTACTGTTGTTAAACTTAGGAAGTTTTTCCTGAGATTTAATCTAAATCTGCTCTGCTATAGTTTGAACCCATGCCTCTTACCCTACCCTCTGTGGCAAGAGAGAACGATTTTTCTCCATGTATTCGTGTCATGCTGACAGAAAGCAGAAGACCGGAAGTCCGCAGTGCAGCAATGCGATATTTATTGGGGTTAGTTTCAAGCAAGCATATCCATAGCTCTGACACTGCAGAGCCTTTGTCCCAGTGTTCCAGTTCCCCCTTCCTTAGCAGGCATAATTATACCTGTAATGCATAGTGTTGGTCCCACCCCTTACAATTTATGGTCGAGTTCCATTGTGGAAGGTCTTGAGTTGGTCCCACCTCTTTTGTATCCCATTGGAGGGGTAGGGAGTGAGGTTGTGTATTGGCCAACGCCAGGCCTTTCTTTGGCTTTTAATGTTTCTTATGTCTCTCCCCACCCGCTCTTGCTCCTCCTAACTGGTTGCTTGATCTTGGCTTGAGAGAGAAGCCAGGCAGCCTTCCAGTGTATGCTCATACATACTCCCAGCATACCCAGTAACACTTTAACTCTATTTCTTATCTTTTCTCATTGTGCTAAAAGCCCCATTTGGTTGTGAGAAATATAACACACAGCGTCTTTGGTCTTTGTTCACACATATTAGTAAGGAAATAAGAGTATAAAAAATCAAACTCAAAATTCTATCTCAGGCAAACAAAGAGGTCTACGTACTAACAACAGCCTTACAAGTATTTTAAGACTGCTATCACTTCCCCACGGAGTCTCCTCTATTCCATAGTAAACATACCCAGTTCCTTCAGTTTTTCTCATATGGGTTACATTCTCTTTCTTTGCTCCTCTTTGTCGCTCTCCTCTGGATCCTTTACAGATTCTCTACAGCCTTTCTATACACTGGTGACCATAACTGGACACAGTACTCCAGCTTAGGCCCAACCAGTGCCAAGTGGAGTAATACTGTCACCTCCTGTGATTTGCATGCTGTGCCTCTGTTAATGCAGCAGTAGCAGGCAGCTTGGAGGGCCGAACAGCCTAGTGGTTAGAGTGCCTGGCTCTCAGCCCTTTGATTGGTTGAGCAGCCTCAGTGTTTATGGCCTAGAGGGGTATTGAGATCAGGGCCCTTCCTCTCCATTGGGTCCAAACCCAGGTCCCTCAGTAAGTCAGCCCCTGAACAGGGAGGGATCCCTCCCAGCAGGATGTCAAAATCCTCTTCCATGGCCTACCTCCTACTGGTCTGTTCAGCTTGAGGAATGGCCCCTCTAGTGCAGTTTGCTGGATGGCTTGTTTCCTGCAGGGTTCCCTCTTGGACTAGGGCAGCGCCTTGCTGCGATCTCCAGCTCCTTCAGGCAGGGCAAACCCCACAACGTCTCTGGTTTCCACTCAGTAAGTTACTTCAGGTGCTGGAGGCTCCTTCACAGTCTCCCTTGGTTGTGGAGACAGTGCTTATTCTGAGTCAGCTACCCTGGCTGGCCGATTACTGCTCCTTCCCTTCAAGTAGGGAGACAACTAGCTCCTGACTCCTCACCAGTCAGCACCAAACTGAGCCAGGCTCTCTTCACCCCTGCCCCCATGCCTGGCTTACACTGCAGATATAGCATGGTGGGGCTAGCTGGGCCCAAAGGCTCTCTTTAACACTTGCTGTGCAGGCTGGCAGTTTCTCTTTTTCATCAAGCAACTTACAGTTGCATTTGCCTTTTTCCCAACAGCATCACAGTGTTGATTCATGTTGAGGGTGTGATCCACCACAACTCCCAAATCCTTCTCAGCAGTGCTGCTGCAAAGCCAGTTACCTCCCATTCTACCTTCGTACCTTTGGTTTTTCTCCCCCAAATATAGAATATTACATTTGTCTTTGTTGACTTCCTTTTTTTTAATCTGTAGCCCAGTTCTCCAATTTATCAGGATCTCTTTGAATTTTAGCTCAATTCACCAAAGTGTTGGCAACCCCCCTAGCTTTGTGCTACCTGCAAATGTGATCAGTATGCTCTATATTCCTCCATCCAGGTCATTAATAAAGATGCTAAATAACACCAGACCCAGAGCAGATCCCTGTGGAACCTCACTTGACACCTCCAATCTGGCATCATTCCATTAATAGTCAACCTTTGTTTGTGGTTGTTTAACCAATTACGTATCCACCTAGTGGTAGTGTTGCCAAGCCGGCATTTCTCCAGCTTACTTATCAGAATGTCCATGTAGAACTGTGTCAAAAGCCTTGCTAAAGTCCAGGTATATTATGGCCATTGCATTCCCTCCTCCACAAACCCAACTGCCATGTCTTAGGGCTTGTCTACGCTACCAAAGGGGGTCTATCTAAGTTACGCAACTTCCGCTACGTGAATAGCATAGCTGAAGCTGACCTACTTACCACGGTCAATTCAAGACAGATGCAATCCAGCCTTCCTTTGAAAACCTCCCATGAAGGAGCTTCCACAACCTCCTGAGGCCTCTGTTCCATTGTCCTGCTGCTCTTACGGTTAGGAAGTTTTTCTTGAGATTTAATCTAAATTTGCGGTGCTGCAGTTTGAACCCACTGCCTCTTGTCCTGCCTCTGTGGGAAGAGAGAATGATGTTTCTTCATCTTTTTTATGGCAGCCTTTCAAGTATTTGAAGATCATTGTCATGTGCCCCCTTAATCTCCTCTTTTCCAAACTAAACATACTCAGTTCCTTCAGCCTTTGCTCATACGTCTTGCGCTTCATCCCTTTGACCATGTTTGTCACTCACCTCTGGATCCTTTCCAGTTTCTCTAAATCCTTTCTATACACTGGTGACCATAACTGTACATAGTGCTCTGACTGAGGCCCTACCAGCAGCAGCTAGAGCATTACTGTCACCTCCTGTAATCTGCATGCTGTGCCTCTGTTAATGGAATTTTAACAGGTGGCTTGGAGGGCCAGTTGGCCTGGTTGTTGGAGTGCCTGGCTCTCTCTTCCCCTGATTGGTTGAGCAACCTAAGTCTTTAAGGCTTGCAGGGTAGGGGAACCCAGGTCCTCCCTCTCCACTCCCCCCAGCTGAGGGCCCTGTGTATGTCAACCCCTGATTGGGAGCGGGGCGGGGCGGGGCGGGGAAGGCTGGATCAAAGGAAGTGGAGAAAGCTGCCTTTTCTCTGGATTCTGTAGTGATGGGGGTGTGCCAACATTTCTTCTTCAGATCCAGGTGGTGATGTACTCTGTTTCCCCTACCCTGTCAAGTAGTTTGTCAATGAGAGGCATGAATTACACATCAAATTTTGAGACTGTGTTGACCTTTTGGAAGTCATTACTAAACCAGGTGGTCCAATCAGGCTTGGGGACCAATACTACGGGGCGTTTCCAGTCTCTGAATGATTCCCCGATTACTCCTAGTTCTAGCATTGATTGGGGTTCTCACTTCATGGTTCCCCTCAACTCCTGGGGAAGGGGTTGCCTCCCATATAACAGCTCAAATGGTGAGAAGCCAGTGGAGGACTGGGGGACTTCTTGCCTGGAGAACAGGGGAGGAGGGAGTAACTGGTCTCAGTGTCACATATCCGTCTGTAAGGACGAACTTCCAGGGCATCCTCTTTAGTGTTCTGTTGAATCTTTCCACCACACCATCTGTTTGGGGGTGTTGAACAGATGTCCTGAGAACCTTGATTTTCAGCAGTCAGCACAGTTGCTTGATCATCTGGGGCATAAAGTTCATTCCCTGATCTGTTGCAATCTCCCATGGCATCCCAATCCAAGCAAAGATTTTCATGAGTGCAGTGGCCTCCATTTTGGCATTCACAGAATGGAATGGTACTGCTTCAGGGCACCTAGTTGCATAGTCAACTGTAACTAAAATGAACTAGTCGCCTGAGGCACTGTTCTCCAGGGAGTTGACTATCATAGAATCATAGACTATCAGGGTTGAAAGGGACCTCAGGAGGTCATCTAGTCCAACCCCTTGCTCGAAGCAGGACCAATCCCCAATTTTTTGCCCCAGATCCCTAAATTGCCCCCTCAAGGATTGAGCTCACAACCCTGGGTTTAGCAGGCCAATGCTCAAACCACTGAGCTATCCCTCCCCCCAAATGTCCATTCCAATCCAGCCAAATGGCATACCTACTTGCAGGAGGGAGAGGCTCTCTGTGGGCTAAGGAGCTTTAGGCTGGCACTGCAGGCATGAGGCACAGAAATCTGGAACATCTTTGATACATGGGATGCCCACTCAACTGCAAGGGTTGGGGTCTCAGCAGGACCTGTGGTTGGAGACAGGGAGATCCCGCAGTCTGAAGGGGGTCTCACAAGCTCCTTTAGCAACTCCCCAAAACAGTTCCAGCCTCAGCCAACAATAGCAGGGTAGGCAAACATTGGTGCTGTCAAGACT